ATGCCGCTCACTGGCTGTGGGACTTGGACAAGTTAGTTAACCTCAGAGCCTCTTGTTTCTTCACTGGTAAATGGGGATAATGTCTCTTGGGGTTTTAAAGAGTATTAAATGAAATAATGCATGTAAAACCATGTAGAGGAGTAGTTATTAGCAAAATTTAACATGGGCCAGAAGGATCTGGGAAGATAACACAGATTATCCAAAAATTATTTGGGATATTTGTGGGCTGAATTTGTCTCTGGGTGTTTGTTACTTTGTGACTCCCTGTTGTGTCATAGTTTCCCAAAAGGTATGGCACAGGAGAAGTGAATATGGCACACACCACCTCAGTCTCATCGTGGTTGAGCAGGTCGGCAGACGAGGGGCGAGATCTGTAAATGCTCCCAGAAGGTATTTTCAAGATTGAAGTAAGATTGAGATAACCTTTGTGGTCAGAGACAAACAAGTAAAAGGTTGGACTGACCTTTTTGAGGAGTCCATGATAGAAATAATACCTGGGGGAGGGGGGGTCTCATACCTATAAAGCTGACGGCGAGCCAGTGGTTAATGCTGTTGGGGGAAAACAGAGTGAATGGGCATGGGGACTGAAATCACTTGACTCAAAAAGAAAACTCCAGTGTGTGAGCAGGGGCGTAGTGATGTTCTTCAGGATTTAAGGGTTTGTTATATGCCCTGTTGACCGGTTCCCACTCCCCAGCAGGTCTTTAAGCACCACCACCTTCACCACTTTCACCGCCGCCAGTATTACCATCCTACCATCGTCATTCCAACCTTTCCACCATCATCATCACTATCATTATTACCACCACCACCATCACCACCGTCATCATCACCATCACCAACATCGAACAGCCACAATGACTCAGGGCCTTGAAGGACTCCATTTGGGAGATTCTGGCCTCTTTACCAAGCTCCGCCTCCATTTTCACCTTCTCTCCGAGTTGCTTCTGTCCCCTGCTCACTCCCTGGCCACCTTTCTTCCTTTCAGCCCACAAACTCTGTCTATAGACTAAGGAAGGAGTTTGCAAGAATACTTCAACAGCCTTGCTTTTCTCTAAGAAAGAAATACTGATCTTTTATCATTTGCTTTATAAATAACAAGAGATGTTAATTAGTTTGACTCATTAAGTTTAAAACAATTGTTATAATTTTGGAGTGTTTGATTAAATTTTGTTAATTATACACAGTTGCTTATGTTGCTGCTCTGGAGAGCAAGAGAGTTTTTCAGGAACATTATTCTCCTCTCCTCCTTGTGCCTGTTCTTCCTGCTTGCCTTGGTGGTGCCAGTCCATGCCCAGGGGACATGTTAGCACGTTGTCCCAGGACTTGAAGTGTCTGAAGAGATTGTCTTCTCTGTGGCCAGGCTGCTCAGGGCCAGCCAGCCCTGATGCACGCTGTAAAGAAGGGGAGAGTGTTTCTCTGTATTTCCTCTGTGTCCACCTTTCACTCATTCACTCCAAACCAAATCTGCTTTCAGGAAGGGATCAGAAGAGCCTAGTTACAGGGAGATAGCAGTGGCACACCAAAGAAATGAACTTTAAATGGGGAGTTGCAGCTTGTCAAAGAAGAAAGGTGGTGTAGGGAGGGTAAAGGTCCCTTCCTCTGAATGCTCTTAAAGGCCATTTAATAGTTATCCCTGTATCTTGTCCCTTCCCTCTCCTCCACTTGCCCTTTGCTCAAGACCCAGCTCAAAGCTGGTCTCCCACTGGAACCATCCTAATGCCCTGTGCTCCCTCTGCAGTGCCCTGCAGAGGAATGCTGCCCACTTGCCTGCTTAGGAATGGGTCCCCTCCTCCTTCTCCCACTTCTCCTCACCCTAGACTGTTAGTGTCTCAGCAGCAGCGTAGCTGTTATAGCCCTGGCGGTCTCCTAGCGTCCGACATAGTGGCATTCAGAAAGTGCTTTTGGATTAAATCCAATTGTATTCCTGCTATTTGAGAAGGATAATAGTTTTTAAACATGGATAATATGATAACTTTCTCCAAAAGATAGGTAAGAGGTTATTAATTCTCTACTCCTTGAATTCACTTGTTTCTTAGACCCCAACCCTGAGACATACCAGCTGGTTGGATGATTTTTTTTTTATAAGAATAAAACACTGGGTGAGGCGGCTGACACCTGTCATGCTAGCACTCTGGGAAGTCAAGGCGGGAGGATCGCTTCAGCCCAGGAGTCTGAGACCAGGCTGAGCGAGAACGAGACCCCATCTCTACTTAAAGTAGAAAAAATTAGCCGGGCATGGTGGCACGTGCCTGTAGTCCCAGCTACTCGGGAGGCTGAGGCAGGAGGATCGCTTGAGCCCAGGAGTTTGAGGTTGCTGTGAGCTATGATGACGCCACTGCACTCTAGCCTGGACAGCACAGTGAGACTCTGTCTCAAAAAAAAAAGAAACACTGACTATTCTAGTCACGGCGTGCAATTGGCTTCATATACCCTTGGCCGAAAGTCTCCTCCAAGGGAAATACAGTTTGTTTGGAGTGAGCATTCACATTTCAGCCAGCCACGCATGGGTGAGTGCAGGAGGGAGGAGCAGTCCCTCCTGGCCCCCTGGGTCTGCTGGGTCAGCCTGGGGCTCAGCTAGAGGGGCAGGCTATCCTGGCCCCAGCACCTTTCCCTCCAGTGGGGCAGCCCGGTGAGAGATTGGAGCAGGCTGATGAGCGGCTAGCATCTGATGGACATGGTGACGCTATCAGCCCTAGCTGGCTGACTTTAGAATCCATCATGTCTTTATTCACTCATCTGTCCTCTATCCCACAATTCTAGGTTACATAGATCTGCTTTGTGTGTGTGCTGTGGACAGAAACCGATTTTGTCTTTTGTTGTTTGGGGGCCGTAAAAATTTATAATAGCTAAGACTTTATTCTAGAATTCTCCTCGTGGTTCTCTCTGAATGGGAAATAGCTTCCCTTTGTTTCATTTGTTTCTGTTTTGCTTCTGTGGTGCTCATGCTCACTGTTTGTGACTACTGGGCTTGCAAACATCAGGGTTTAGCAGATGTGGCCACTCCTGGCTCCCCGGTGGCTCCTCTTCTCTGGGTAGAGCTGAGTAAAGTATTTTGGACATTGCTATTCCTTCTGCACGATGTCTCTTTATGACATTGTTTTGATGATCAAACTTTTATCCTAAGTTCCTTGATCTTCAAAAAAGTTAACTTACTAATAATATTCACTATCACTGTCTTTCTGCAATGGGCATTGTAAGGATAATTAAGGGACATATAGGTGAAATGTTTTGAGCTCAGTGGAAGGGAGAAACCATCAAGATCATAGGTATTACTATTATTTAGTTTCATAGTATTACCATATGATCAAGAATAGATTAATTTTGGAAATGATAATTTCGTGTTTGGACATTTATTCCTGCTTAACCATGGTAATTGGCTTTGGCTTGAGCCCTACAAACAAATAAATGGGAAATGATCAAAAATGTTTTTACTACATTTTTTGTTTGCTGTTTTTTTTTTTTAATTCTAAAAATAAATAAGTCTTTTAAAATGAGTTGATTAAAAGAGTTCATTTTCGGGGAATGTTAAGCATCTGCAATAAATAATAAATAATATTGTAGCAGTTGTCTGCCTCCACTTTCATGCAAAATAAATAAATACATTTGGTGACATACATTTGAGGAATGTGATTCTTGTAATTTTTATGGAAATAAGGAGCAACTTTACAGATGATAAAGATTTTACCATCTGCTAGTAACAAAGAGACATAGCTCTTAACACGTGGCGCTTACTGAGTTTAATGTATATATACTGGCATGCCAGGAATTGGAATTCTCTAAAACTTAAGCCAGCCATCCCCAGGGAAGCTGACCTGACTTTCAGCATGTCAGGGGAAAGGTTTCTTTGTTTCTAAAGCATATGGCATGGTCTTCACATTGCTCAGATGGCAGAGGAGTGAAGAGGGCTGAGCTTTCATGGTGAGAGATGAAGAGAAATGCACTCTGTAGGCTTGTGAGTACCTGCACAATTTTCACTTGTAATTAGAATGGTGGACTCACTGTCGAGAAGCTACTGTCTTTGTGAGTCAAAACATTTAGTGTTGGTGGAAAGGTGAAAGTTCAGATGCTTGGGGAGATAATGGTAGGGGGTGGGAAGTCCAGCCTTTCTTTTACAATGACATCTGCTTTAAGCAGGTGACGTTTTAGCTCCCTAGGCATGAAATGTCGGGTGGGGGGGTTTTGGTTCTAGTTCAGGAGAAGGAGTGTGTGGGTTACCTGTAAGAAGGAATCAATACTCCGTGGAGGCAAAGAACTGCCTACCAAGGAAGAAGGAGAAGACGAAAGGGAAGGCATCTAAGAAGCATTGCCTCTCTTTTTGAGTTTCCTTTACTCTCCTTTGAAGAAGTGGGATGATTGTCATTTTGGGTCATTCTGGCTTCACCTAATGGTGTGGATGCATGGCCACAAGCATTATGGCGGTCCCATAAAAAGATGGCCAGTGCATTTCTATTGGTAGATTACGGGTAAGCAGTCCTGAGGGTGTTTAATCCTTCTTAGTATTAGAAGCCATAGGCTGGGTATGCAGGCAGAACCTCATTAGTGAATTTTATTTACCAGTGGTTTACATCTTGGAGTGCTTTAGGGTATCTTCAGTCTTAAAGGGGTTGGGGAATGAGGCAGGTTTTGTCAAAGAGGAGCCGCTTCCCTCTTACCTCCTACTTCTCCAAATTATGATATAACCCTTAATCCCAGACCGTGGAAATGTTATCGAGTCTACCTAATGGATTTTGGCTTTTATCCTGTTGCCTTTGTCTTAAACACCTAAGCCGTGTTGACAATCAGTAGCGTTTGGAAATTTGTCTTCATTGCTGTGCTCTATTACTGTCCTTCCCTTTTCTTTCCCGCCTCCGATTTTGACCTCTTTGGACCCTGGTGTTCTTGTGCCCTTTCCTCTTGGCCTTTGGAAAAAATGATGACAAACTCATGCACGCTAAGATACTAAAGGCTGATCAGGTTTAAAGTGTTTTCCCTTCTTGTGGTGTTTATATTTCTTGCAGGGGCGAAGACATCTTAAACCAGAGGAATGACTCAGTAGTTGTGGAATTTCAGTCTTCAGCCAGCAGATGCAGGAGGTATTATTCTGGGTATGGGGCCCTTCTCAGAAACCCAGACATCATCCTAAATGACCACCTGCCTGCTCCATCCTACATAAGGCCACTTTGTGCATCACACCAGTCTTACATATTTAGTTGGCTTGACCTGGCTGAGGGCAGCAAGCATGTCTGTGGCAGTCTCTGTATGAAGTTCAGCACTGTAGGTGCTTCACAGAAGGTTCTACTTACTGGAAAGGGGAAGAGCTGTGATGCATGCAATGCAAGCTTATTTTTTTTTAAATTTTTTTTTTTTTTTTTTTTTTTTTACTTTTTACTGCAAATGTTGACATTGGTCCAAAAGTTAGAAGTTTTTAGTAAAATTAGAATTCTCCTGTTGGTTAAAGCCCCCACTTCATGTCCATCCATAGCATGAGTCATGTGTCTCAGAGCAGTCTCCATTTGAAATGCGTGGAATGTTCGTGAAAGCTGGTGTTTCATATCACAGATGTCCACAAGCAAGGCAGGACCGTCATATCCTCTCCTTTGAACATGCAGCCTGGTTCTGCAAATAGAGAGTGTCATTCCCATCTTGTGCCTCCCTTATGCTGGTGACTGTCACCACAGTCAACCCAGAGAGTTCTTAGTGATGCCGATGTCAGAGCTTGGAGCCTCTCAGTTGGTAGATGATTCCAGAGGCTGCAGCCCTCCTTTATATGAAGGTCACTGTTGGACTCCCAAATCTAATAACTTTGGGTAATGTACTAAGGATGAATTAAAATGCTAATAGGCTACATGTTCTGGATATTTTAACATTCCCTAATCTTAAATTTAAATTAAATGCCTTAGGTGCTGTAGCAGCCTTGCCAGAAGCATGTTTAGCATCACCCCTTAGACAGTGAATTTAAAGTGCAGTCTGGCCACACCACCAGAGCCAGGATAAGCAGTGTTTATTTTACAATAATCGTTTTTGTGTCCCCTACAGCTACATGACACAAATACTGTCTCTCTTACTAAAGATAGCTATTTAGCTTTAAAAAAAAATCACTATTTTTATAAGTTACTTTGAAGCCACAGATCCTTTTATTATTAACAATATTTTAATAGCAATACATTAGATTTTGTGGTACCCAAAGCTGTTCCACTTTTATAGATTACCTTCACATTTAAACCTTATAACAACACCATAAAACACCCCTACTTTATAACAAAGACACTGGGGATAAAGATACTAAATGGCTTTTCCACCGTCACTTCGCTGGTCAGGGACGAACACGCAGTTAGCAGTCGGTGTTCTGGCTCGCAGCTCAGCATCTGCCCACTAGACCAAGGGGGACTCTAAGCACAATGATGGCAAGATCATTTAAACTACATGCTTCTGCTGGGTGTTGGCTCATTTTAAGGGATGTGTTAGTTCTTTCTGATTGGTAGTGTTAGTTCTATTGTCTACACTGAGGCCAGATTTCTTTATCTGGGGACCAAAAAAACCCCAAGCGTATTTCCTTCCCTCACTAAACAGGTCACTTCCTCATCACTAGTTGAATTAGCCCCTTTATTTTCTCCTTATTAGGGGGAAGGAACACTTTATTTCTTCCTTAGTTCTCCCAGTTATCTGGTGTCTGGCCACTTCATAATTGTATTTCGGGAGAATAGATATTAATTTTCTTCAACAAAAAGGCCGAGTTCCTTGATGACACAACATAATTCAATTTCCGTTCGCTCCCTTCATTGCCTGCACCCCTTCCTCGTGGCACATTTTTCATAGTTAGGAAGAGTGATGGTGTCAGATATATCAGAAGGAAGAATTGATTCAGTAGTCGTTTGACGACTTGACTGATTAACAGAGATCAGAAGAAGCCTCATAACTGTGAAAACCACTGCAGCATGGAGTTTTAACAGCTCTTTAGGGAGCTAGTTAATGAAAGAATCACTACAGAAACACAGCCATGCAAAAAAAAAAGAATAGGAGCATTCCCATATAACACTTAGAGGCTATGTCACAAGAGGAAATATGCTCGTAATTTCTATTTACACATCACTGTAATTACCGTCTGCCTTAAGATTACTTTCAGTCTTCCCCTGTCAAAGTTGCTTAGATAGTTCCTCTTTCACATATCAGGAGGAGAAATCTAGTACTAGTTGGAACTCGTCCTAAGGGTTTTTTTTCCCCTCCTGAAGAAAGTAATTTTCAGACGCTGGAGCGCACACTGCCTGATTAGACTGGCTTTAATCTGCTCCATGCTCTTGTTACCATCACCATTTGTCCAGGAACCAGACTTCTGTGCTCAGATGAATGTTGCATTGGGCTTTACCCTTTAATTTTTGTGTGTGTGGTTGTTCTGTTTTCTTTCTCCTGATGCAGTGTCTATGAACCAGATAGAAATGCATTACGGAGGAAAGAACGGGAAAGAAGAAATCAGGAAACGCAGCAGGATGATGGCACGTTTAATTCCAGCTACTCTCTCTTCAGTGAGCCTTACAAGGTAGATGGTTTTCAGCTGTTCACCTGCAGCCTTGCTCATACCCTAACTGCCTGTGATGGCATCTTGACCGGAAGAGTAGACCAACCAAACTGCAGTTTGTTTTCTGCCTGTTCAGCCCAGGGAAGACAGCTCAGCTACTAAGTATGGGGTCTTCCCCTGCAAATCTTGGTGTCTAGTTCACATGTCTTTACTGGCTACTCCCTTAGTAAAATGTAACTTTTGTTTAATATTGAGATCTGCTTGCTGTGATTTTTATCAGTATTAGACTTCATCTCTGCACTGGCATTTCAAAGTCAATGCCATTTCCTAAGCTCTTAGGAAACAAACATGGATCATCCTAAGATCAGGGTACCTGTTAGGGCTAAAGAGAAAGAAACTGTAAGATTATCTCTCATTTTTACCAAAGGCCTGAAATATATAACCTTGTCTTCCAAAATGAAATATCTTCCTAGATTTCACTAATATCTTAGAGCTGCGTGGAGCTATGGGCCATTCAGCCTGGTAGCTTCTTGCACATTTAGTGCCATGTTCCATTTAAATGTCACCTGGACTTCTCTTGCCTGTCACTCTGGGTTTCTGACAAGAATAATTATATATTTAGAAATTGGAAGCAGACCATTCCTGAGCCAAATCTGAATTTTCAAGAAAAGCTTCCAGTGGGACAAATAAGCAAAGAAAATACAGTCCTGGAAAGACTTAATCCAGACCATTTTGTGAAGTGGCAGTGATAAATTTTCTGATTTCCAGGTAATATGTTTTAGGTGCAACACAATACCAAGGATAGATTCCTTTTTTAATGTACCCTAAGGCCATTCCAGGTTTCCAGTTCTGGTGTGATGCCGAGTGCTGACAGACATCTTCAGAGACGATAAGGATTTTGATTTCATCTCTCAGCTCTCGTTCCGAATGTGGCAGCCCTGCTCTGTGATTGATAAGGACACCTGTCTGTTATTTCCCATGTTTCTCTTGTCTCTAACAATAGTGTGGATGTGTTTTTCTTTCTCCAGACTAACAAGGGGGATGAGCTCTCCAATCGGATCCAGAATACTTTAGGCAATTATGATGAAATGAAAGACTTTTTAACTGATAGATCCAATCAGAGTCATCTCGTTGGCGTTCCCAAACCTGGAGTTCCTCAGACTCCTGTGAACAAGATCGATGAACATTTTGTTGCAGATTCAAGAGCCCAGACCCAGCCCTCGTCTATCTGTAGCACTGCATCTTCCACACCAGCAGCTGTCCCCGTGCAGCAGAGCAAGAGAGGCACCATGGGCTGGCAGAAGGCTGGGCACCCTCCATCCGATGGCCAACAGAGAGCAAGTAAGCACAGGCACACAGGCACAAATCTGCTAACCCAAAGAACCATAATAAAAAACTTAATCACTGTGTATTGAGTCCCTCATCTTCATCTTCCTCTTCTTCTTCTTCCTCCAACTCAGCACAACAGGGATCTCTCAGGACCTTGCTTGGAGATGGCAGACAGCAGCCCCGGGCCAAACAAGTGTGCAATGTGGAGGTGGGTCTTCAGACCCAGGAAAGGCCACCTGCCATGGCAGCTAAGCACAGCAGTGGTGGACACTGTGTTCAGAACTTTCCTCCATCCTTGGCTTCAAAACCCAGCCTGGTCCAGCAGAAACCAACCGCATATGTGCGGCCCATGGACGGTCAAGACCAGGCTCCTGATGAATCTCCTAAGCTTAAGTCGTCTACGGAAACCAGTGTGCACTGCACATCATACAGGGGCGTCCCCGCCAGCAAGCCAGAGTCGGCCAGAGCCAAAGCCAAGCTTTCCAAGTTCAGCATCCCCAAGCAAGGAGAGGTGAGTCTTTTCTCAGTACCATTTATATGCAGCTAAGTAGTCATGAGTGACTACTTGACTATTTATTATAAATTCAATTTCCATGTTTCTTTTTTCCAGTGACATGGCAGACTTCATGTGGTAGGATTTGTAGCAATCACTTAAAGGGGGAGGCAGACATATATGGTGATTTCTTAAAATCTCAAATTTATTATACTTGGAATTTTTAAAGTACCAATAAATGCAGTTCTCTGTGCGTGCATGTGTGTGTATGTATTAGTTAGGGAAGGAATGCCTCCTTCAGTATAGTTCAAGAGGTTTTCTTGTGAACAACTACTGTTGACTGAGGTATATTATATACTAGAAATAAAAGCCCTTCAAAGGCTATAATTTTTAATACTTTACTAAAGAGGTAAAATTTTCATGCAAAGGAGTTCAGAAATTCTTTTAATATTTTCATGTTTTGAAATATTCCAGGACAAACTTTACAAAGTAAACCTCATAATAATTTCTAAGGTAATTGTTTAAATGATTTAATATTGAATATGGTAAATATTGAAATGTGTCAGATATACTGTTGTGTTTCATACTATATTCCAAATTGATGATGGTTATAAAGAGCACATGAAGAAGAAATAGGACTGTGCACATTTTTGTTGTTTTGCTGTAATACAGTATATTAACTAAAATACAGTGTGAATTCTAGAACATTATGCTTAGGAGCTGCTTATTTTATTTTTCTTTTTGACATATTCTTTAAAGACTGTAAGATTGTGGCCAGACTATTCTTTGTATCTTAATTTAATAACCAAATGAATAAATGATTTGACATTTTTTGTTCCATTTCTGACAATGTTGAGGTTAAACATTTCTGAACTGTCATCTCAGAAATCACCATAGACCGATTGGGAGATCAATATACCACCCTTAGAGAAGACATCTTTTTCATACTATGAGATGTTTACAATAGTTTTATTGAGGAAATAAAGTGACCTGTATACTAGTAACTTCTTTTGAATGCACATTTATGATGGATTCTAGAAAATGTTTATTATGAATTAATGGAAGCAACAGATTATTTCTGTAAGCATTTATTGTTGTAAAAGTTTGTAGGAAACACACAAATATCATTTTACAAACTGAATTCATTAAGCTCTTTGATTTTTGTTATCATCATCAAATGACTAGTACTGGCAAATAAAAGCATGGCTTATCCTTGAATAGTGCTGACTAACTTTTACAACTACCAGGAATTCCTTTATAATTTTAATCCCAATTTATTTATTTATTTATTTACATTTTAATTTTTATAGATTTAGGGGGTGTAAGTGCAATTTTTCACATAGATATATTGCACAGTGGTGAAATCTGGGCTTTTAGTTTACCTGTCACATGAATAGTGCACATTGTACCCAACAGGTAATTTTTCATCCCTCACCCCCCTCCCACCTTTTGGAGTCTCCAGTGTCTATGATTTCACTTTGTATATCCATACATACCCATTGTTTAGCTCCCACTTAAAAATGAGAACATGTGGTATTTGATTTTCCATTCCTGAGTTACTTCACTTAGGATAATGGCCTCCAGTTCATTTTTTATGCTTGAGTAGTATTCCACTGTGTGTGTGTGTGTGTGTGTGTGTGTGTGTGTGTGTGTGTATGTATCACATTTTCTTTATGCAGTCATCGTTTGATGGACACTTAGGTTGATTCCATATCTTTGCTATTGTGAATAGTGCTGCGATAAACATATGAGTGCAGGTATCTTTTAGATATGACGATTTCTTTTCCTTCGGGTAGATACACACTAGTGGGACTGCTGGATGAAATGGTAGATCTATTTTTAGTTCTTTGAGAAGTCTCCCATACGATTTTCCATAGAGGTTGTACTAATTTACATTCCCACCAACAGTGTGTATGTGTTCCCTTTTCTCTGCATCCTCATCAACATGTATTGTTTATTGACTTTTTAACAGTGGCCATTCTGACTAGAGTAAGATGGTATCTGCACAGCAAAAGAAATAATCAACACAGCAAATAGAAAACCTATAGAATGGAAGAAAATATTTCCAAAGTATGCATCTGACAAAGGGCTAACATCCAGAATCTACAGTGAACTCAAACAACTCAATAAGAAAAAAAACAACACCATTAAAAAGTAGGCAAAGGACATGAACAGACATTTTTTAAAAGAAGACACACAAATGACCAGAAAACATGAAAAAATGCTCAACATTATAACTATCAGAGAAGTGTAAATTAAAACCACAATGAGATACCAATTGACTTCTTGTTAAAATGATTTTTAGCTAACAAAGAAAATTCAAATTTATTAGGTAATAATTTACTTGTTTATTTCTTTTGGAATTCAGTGAGTTGATAAAACTCTGGTTAAAAGAAAAAAATGAATTTTTGATTTGCCAGTACAGCCTTATGCAGGTAACTGTGCAGTTTTTATGAGGCTTTTGGGTATGTCATTAATAACTTGGACACTTTCAGAATGCCCTTTGAGGACTCCAGATTGGAAACGACATGTCGTGTACTAGTGTTAGGTCATCCTCAAAAGAGGGACGCCTGAGACCGAGAGTCATACTGAGAGAAATTAGAGATTTTATATATAGAAAGTGTTCCATTTCCCCTACAGGTGATGACGTTGAACTAGGGAGCCTACTCTCTTTAGGAGGCCAATCTTGCTTTGATAGAGGACAAATAAGAAGAGAAGGTTTGTAGGACAAAGTTATAATTGGTGGGTTTTCATTGGGGGGAAATGCAGTCTTTATTTTACTAAAAAGCATTCCATGTTAGCAAAATTACTGTAATTTGAATCTTGTACCACTTATCTATGTAATCTGCCCACTACCACAATAAGAAAATGACTCTTTCACAGTTAGCATCAAAATAGTATCTGTAAGTTACTTTTCCTGCCCTTCAAACTCAAAGGATTCGGGGGGAGTTTTGACAGTATTCTAAGAGGAGATTAAGAACTACCCTTTTGCAAGTATATTGTTCAATATTTATAGGATATTCCTATAAAATCCACAGTCATAACATAGAAGCTTAAGAATTCTATAATTAGATTTTACTTTTGAGGGATATATGTTTTTATGTTTTGGAAGAGGGTAAAACAGTTTAATGTGGTAAACAATTACAAAAATATTCATGCCAATATATTTTTTAATACAGATAACTGTCAGTATGAAAATATTTTCTCAAAAGTACAGACATTAATTTCCAGTGAGGTAGAGAAGGTATTTTTTAGGGAAATTTTCAGAGAAAATGACCTGAAGGGAACTTGCCTTACTTGACCGTACTTTTTCAGGATCTTAGCTGTAGAGCAAGACTCATCACAGTGTGAAGAATTTGGGGGCTGAAAGGAAGTGTTAGGTAAATATGACGTAAAAACAGCAGGGGCATGCAAAAATAGCTGTTTGGTATTGTGTAGGGACGTTCCTCATAAGAAAGGAAATCAAATCAATGATTAGGTGCAATGTGATGTGAGAAATTTAAAAAAATATATAAGATGTAATCTCTGCCTCCGAGAAATTTACACGAATTGAATAAATTAGACTCTACCACATAGCATTTAATTTGCAGTTTCTCTCACAGTCCAAACTAAATTAAAAATTGGCCTTCTAGCCCTAGGAAAATTCCCTCACCTTCATCATCTATGTAGTAGAAAAATAATTCTGTATTATTTTTAAAAATGGGGAAATTGTGAATCTCTTTTGCCTGATTTTACACTTCATAAACTCTTCATTCTTTTCCATACAACATCTGCACTCTATCTGCTGGCATGGCAAATTATTTGTTATAGTTCTTTAGTCTTCAATAATAGGCAATTAGTGTAGAAAAATCCAGTGGAAGTTAAAGACCTCAAGAGAATTCCTTAACTGATACACCTGCCTCTTGGCTGGTTTTTTCCTGGCTCAGTTTGTGTTTAATGAAAAACATATTTTTGTTGTTATAACTGAGTCTTTTATTCTCGATGCCACCCCTCATCAAGTGAGCCTCCCCGGGAGTGCCACTTGGAAAGGTGTCTACTGTTAGGTGAGAAACAAGGGACTTAACGAATGGCCAAAGCATGCATTCCAGAATGTTCTAGAGCCAGGGGATACTAAATTTTATTTCTAACTGAAGTGAATTATTTTTTGTTTATATACACCCACAAATTAATATTTTATACTCACCATGTAATTCCAGATCCAAACATTGGGGATGGTTAACTAGAGGGGTAGATACAGGTTTTGTGGGACCTAAAATTTGTACAGACTTGGGGATCCTCTTTAGGAATAAAAGCATAGAAAAATATCTTATACTTGCAGTTTTTTCAAAAACATATAACTGTGTTAACACACTCCTAGGGCCCCTCCTGGGGCCTTAGAAGCCCTGAAGCTTAAGCATCATTAACTTAACGGTGTATCTGTCTTTGGCTCATGGAATAATAAGAAATTATTATAAAAATGATCATTTTAGATTTGAAAAAAATTCTTTATATTAGCCTCAAACTTGGTAGAATTTAAAAATACATACGTTGGCCGGGCGCGGTGGCTCACACCTGTAATCCTAGCTCTCTGGGAGGCCGAGGCGGGGCGGATTGTTTGAGCTCAGGAGTTGGAAACCAGCCTGAGCAAGAGCGAGACCCCGCCTCTACTAAAAATAGAAAGAAATTAATTGGACAACTAAAAATATATAGAAAAATTAGCCGGGCATGGTGGCGCATGCCTGTAGTCCCAGCTACTCGGGAGGCTGAGGCAGGAGGATTGCTTGAGCCCAGGAGTTTGAGGTTGCTGTGAGCTAGGATGATGCCATGGCACTCACTCTAGCCCAGGCAAAAGAGTGAGACTCTGTCTCAAAAAAAAAAAAAATAAATAAAAATACATATGTATATGCTAGGTGCTATGAGCGAGGCAAAAAATAGGACAGTACCATGAAACACCTGATATGCAGAGCCATTGGAACAAAATACAGGTCTCATGGGGCTTCGCAGCCAGTTTGTTTGGCAAGTCACAGCTTCATCAGTGG